ATGTTAATCAAAAATTCGTTAAATTTTCACGAAACATGAAACAGACAGTAAAACAAAATTCCAAATTCGGGCTTCCAGGTGCTCATATTCGGGTGGAGGACTACGTTATTCAGAATTTGGTGGCTGTAGGTACCGTTGTTTTTTCACAATGCCAGAAGCATACATACATTCATGCAGATTCTTCATTGTTTAATTTTTGTAAATATAATACAGGGCGATAATATTTGGTGGCAACAATTTGAAAAGTGATTCAGCGCAAAATGCTGCTTCAAGACTAATAGCCCTTCTTGGCTAATGCCTCTATGGGCTTATTAAAAAAAGAGAGAAAGTGGAGGACAAAAGAAGGGTCATTTATTTGCCTTGCAAACACTTCTAAATAGATGTACGAAATATGGAAACGTGTTGAGCTTTATAATTTGAATTAATCTGCAGTAAACCGATTTTGGTACATTTAGCACAAAAAAAAAAAAAAAAAGGGAAGGAACTGTTCTTCTTCTCCCTTTCGAATGAAACGATTGGCGGAATTTAATCTACGTTTTTCATTTCTCGAAAACGCGACTTAGGATATATATTAGACTTTTATATAGCATTGTTCTATCGGTATTTTGACACAGAATGGAACTTTCTGAAATGACATACTGATTTTTTTATATTTCGATTCTACGACTCAAATTACGCCTAAATGTTAAATTTTGTAAAAATTGTTGAAAAACGTATCGAGAAATTTAAAAATTTATCTTGGCGCACTTTTTTTTTCAGTTTTTGCCAGGAATAATTCATTTCGCGGAATTCTTAATTTATAGTAACCTATTTTCCGTTCCCTTTTTTCGATGCGCACGAGCGGGAAAAGAAATGGTGCATTGTTCGTTCTTTCAAATAATTTTAAGTGCATACAGCACATTTTTTGGTGTTATGGCTTATAACAAATATTCCAAATTTTAAAACACGTTAATATATAAATTCACGTATATCTTGTAGATGTCGAATACTAATGTCGATGGCGTAATTATGCCCAATGCATCATCTTCGTATTGAACGACAGGAACCTGCGCAGGGATGGCGAGAATCGTATTCCTTGTTAATCTGTCAGGCTGTAAGATCTTATAGAACTAGCATATTTTACGTATATTTATATTCTTTCGAACTGTTTATGATGCCATAGAAGTAAATGAAGGTGTGATGAATATTTAAATATGATATGTTACGATATGCCAGATCTGCTCATCAAGCACTCAAAAACAAAAAACTGTGTTGTGTAATAATAAGCATAAAAAATATTATTAGACAAAAAAGCACAAGCAGAGATTAAAATTTTGAAGTCAAGAAAGAAATGAAAATTAAGCAGATATGTTTCTTCAATTGACTTACAATTTGCAGCGTTAAAACAAAAAATCTAATTTAGTGCCTATTTTTCATTAGTATTTTTTTTAAATTAATGTTGTTTTTTTTAAATATTCTAAATGTCCTCTTTTTATTTTGTCTCGAATTCCAATAAAAATTTACATTTAATTTGTATCATGTATGCTTATATTAAAAGTTTTTCATCATATCTATTGACTTCTTAAAAAAAGACAGCTTTTTAAACCTTTCAGAATTTAGCAAATGTTGTAATATAACTGAGGTGATTGTTTAGCAATTATATACTATTTATTAGGATAGATATAACTGGCCCCCACTCTGTCATTTTGTAAACAATAACTTCCATTCCAGAATTTATTTATAATACTTTTTAAAACAATAAAGCTGTCATTCATGACATAATTTTATTACAATTAATGGTGGAAAAAATCCAATGTTTAAAATATCAGACATTGTAGTGAAAAATCAACGAATTTCATTTCTGATCGTGTACATTACTTAGATGGAATGTATTGTAAGGAATTTTGGGGGGGGGGTAAATGAAAGTTATTGAGCTTTTGTAAAAGAAATTTATTGAGGAAAACAACAACTTGGCAAATTTTTGTGTTTTCAAGTGGTACCATAATTAATTTACCTTTTAGCACAACCAACGCGCATTACTGGAATTTTCTTAGAATTATCTTAAAACACATCTGCAAAACCTTGAAAAGTCAGAGAATTTCATTTTCCTGTTTAAGTGGCAACCTTGCTGAATATACAAGTTTTATAAAATTTTATTATATATTCGATAAAATGTTATGTCGTACATATATTCAGACTTCGGGTCATGTAAGTCATATATTGGTGACTCTTCTTTGCAAACGTAACACGAACTTTAAACTCAGTAAGTAACATAAAAAGTTAAAAAGGAAGAAATGAAAATAACATGAAATTAAACTGCATTAAAAAAGGAAAAGGGTATCTTCCTAGATTCCATTACTAGGAAGTGTACATGTAATGCATTCTTGAAATATGATTCTCATCAACAATTTCTCTATAGCACTTTATAAAGAAGAAGAAAAAAGAAAATACTCGGGGAAAAAATAAATAAGGAAGCCTCGTCTTATCGCCTAATGCCAGGGTATAGTCCAAGTTAACTCTCCCGTTTTTACAGCTCTTCCCGTTGACTTTATTTATTTATTTATTTGAAAGGAAAGATAAAAATCGAAATGGTACTGTTGCTTGAAAAGTATGGAGTGACAAGCGAAGAAAATAGTGCAGAAGGACTTATCTTTCTCGTTCACTTTATAATCTCGGTATTCTTCTTTGAATTGTTAATGCTTTTTTGTCATAAAAGCTTTTAAGGTGTATACCCACATATGTAAACGTTTTCGAGAGATGTTTTTAGTGTATTTGTGGACAGCGAATGCAGAACCAGATTTTATCGGGCTTTATGAAGTTTGACTACAAAGCCAAAATGGAAATGGGAAGTTCTGTCCAATTATTGTTTTATCTGAACGTTTAATGCTTTTATATGACATTTAAAGGGTGAATTTCGGTAATGAAGTTTGTCGTTTTGTGTGCCAAAGAATAATGAAAATTATTTCTTCAAATTCATTGCTATCGACCTATTCAAAGGTTGTTATTGCAAATAAGAATTTCGAATTTTGTCAGAGCTAATTTTTTTAATCAGTCAAAATAATTTTAATTTTAAATCTTGAAGTTTTCATAAGCAAAAGAACTGTTAATTTGAATGTAAAAATCTTGCCAATTATTAATTTACTTTAGATATTTTGCTACAAGAAGAGCTTCAACATTTATGCTTCGAAGAGACTAAAATCTCGTCCGAAATAAATGTCCATTTTTCAATCAGCGATGAATTAATTTCGATTGTGTTGTGTTTCCGTATGCAGTGTTAAGTTAATAATTTAAAAAATCATTTTATTTAGATCTCTTAACAATATTTTCCAAGCAGTTTTATTTATACTGCAAGTGTCATAAATAGTGTTTTAGCTCCCTATGATAAAGCCATTACAAAACTTCTAACTATTTTTTACATACATTATTTATCTGCATTATATATAAAGGGTAATGGTTACGACGAAGTTTCATAAATCTGAAGCATATGAATTGCCAAGCTTTTTAACACTTCTTTTTTTATTATTATTTTATTCAAAAATGTTTTTTAATATTTTGATATTACTTATACGATTGTTCAAAGAAGAAATGCGGAAACAAAGGCTAGAACTTTTGAAACAGACATACATTTGCAGTTGAATTTTAATCTTATTGAACAGTAAAGATTTAAATTTTATGAATCGACAATAGTAAAAATTATTTTTATCTGCGGTGAAAACTGAAGTATTTGTATGACCTTTTGAAAATCTTCTTTAGATATTTTAATTTAAAAAAAAAATTAACGATAATCTTTTTTTGCGCTGTAATTATACATGAAGTCTTCAGATATCAGTTTTTTTTAATTCTAAATATACAGGGGTGTAATAAAATTGATAGTTTCAACTTTAAGGAATGCTAGAATAAGGTAAAAAGTAACAATTTTCATATTACATATGTTATCAATCCTACCTTTTCTGAAAATTCTGTTACTATAATACTATCACAATATAATGATTGTATGGTCCCCTGTGCGTGTGTGTGGGTTATTTTTTATTTATTTTTTTTTTTTAAATGGAAGGAGTGTCACATACGATCTTTTTTTTTTTTTTTTTTTTTTTTTTTTTTTTTTTTTTATCTTTTAGCTAATGCCATGTAACTACTAAACGCGTGTTTTATTTTATATTTTTGTTCATCTAGAATGGGGGGGGGGAAATCGTGAAAATAATCGCTTCCTCTAATCATAGAAAATTCTTCCCTGTACTCTCAGCATAGCAATGAAGTCATTCCGGCATTGTTACCCGATCTGCCCATTGGTGTAAGATTACATTGGATTCATTACAATTTCTTTTTTAACAACTTTGATTTAAAAATCTGTCATTATGAGCAGAAACGTTTGTTGGCAGCCCATATATTCAGTTTTGCAAAAGTCGCCGAAAAAATAGTAAATTACGTCAGACATTCCGGATGAACTTCATTCGGAAGATTATGTTCCGATCTATTGCAAGCAAAAAAAATCTATTGTTGTTGATGATTTGACGTATCTCACTTGCCTGACAGTAACATCAGAAGCTCATGAAATTCATCATGGCATGGATTACAAGATTGCTTTTGTCATTGGCAAGAGCCTTGAGCACCATGTAAAAGTATTTGCCCACAAAATCTGAAGAAGATCGTTTCAGCATTCAAAGAAAAAAAATCTACATCGAATTTTGAGAAAAACACACACACACACACACTGTGAAATATTGTAATATCTTCGCAAACATGGACGTGTGCAAAATTTGCAGAAAATCGATTATAAGTAGATCAAAAATTCATTTCAAAGTTGGTTCTAATACATAGGGAAATCAGCCTAGATAAAACTGCCTAAAAACGAGGCATATGTCGTTTAGGGATCAAAATTTGAGTTTTCTGTAAGTCATGCCGCTTTCTGTGAGATCTACTTATGTTACTTCAAATATTTAATAGTAGAGTGATAGCGATAGAATTATTCTTATAGTATTATGTTTTCCTGTATTATTAAAATTAGTGTTTTCTGCTTTCAGATCTACCCAGACCCTGATGCAGAAGTAGCTATTATGGGATCCATGGTGTACTGCATTCATTACAAAGAAGGCTGCAAATGGTCTGATGAACTGAGGAAATTACAGGTTAGTTTCCTTTAGAGATTTTTGTTCATATTTGCATTGACTTAACTGAACTAGTGAACTTAAATCTACCTTATTGGCCGCATTTATTCCTGACACTCGCAATATGCATTTGTAAGTTGAACGCTAAAAATGCGTGCAATTTACGAATGATCCTTTGCATAAAATACGAGTGAAAAATTTAAAACATCCCAAAAAAACTTTGGTGTTTTTACATGAAACAACTGTGTTTGGTAGTAGACTTTGCGTGTAATTTTCGTACATTTCACTGATTTTAGATACAACAGTTATGTAAATTTAAACGCATTTACGTAAAATATCCGTATTTTTTAAGGTAAACATCCGTATATACTCGGTATACGTAACTATTTTTCCGTAGATTTCATTCGTGAGTAACCTTAAATATGCCTCAAAGAATTTTTTGAGACATCTCCTGTATTCGTAAATTGATAGTTTTTGTCGTAAAATGTATGCAGCAAAAGATAGTCATTTTCAGATCACGTATGCAACAAAGGAAGTAGTCTTTCAGTATTGAATTTGGGAGAGAAGAATTTAGTAATTAATTATTCCCTTTACCCTACAAATAAATTTTACAGTTTTGCATAGTTGCTTTGTTAGTAGCTGTTACAAAATTACTTGCTCTTGCGTATCTATAAAACAAAAGTGAAATCCCTTGATAATATTAAATGGGTTGGTTCGATAACCATGTTTCAAGCTGTCTATGCATAAGTGCTTTTTACTTAAAACACCGCGTATCATATATCAACAGAAATATACATTTTGAACGTTCCAGTATTCATTTGGAAGATTTGTTTGCGTGGTGTCTGTAAGTACTGAGAGAATAAAGACATTTTTTTTCCATAACAGATTCAAAAATTATTTTTTGTGACGTCTGCATGTATGTATGTGCCTCGCATAGATCGAAAACGATTAACTGTAGAACGATGAAATGTATTTGGGACTATATTCGGGACTACTCGGATTTTTATGGCAGCAGAAGCATAGGTTTATATATACTATATACCTCCCCTCTTAACCAGCTTAGAAATCCTTACCTCAACTTTATTTTCATAATCATTTGGTCGTAGTCGTATACTTCCAATTACAGAAGTGTTTTAAATCACGAAAATATTCATGCTTTAACAATGTCAATTAAAAAAAAAAAAAAAAAAAGTTTGACAATTAACGAAATCTGACTTTTAATGCGGTCTCTCGGTTCCTATATTTATATTTGAGAAAGTTTTATACTCATTATGAAAAAATAAATAAAAATACAAGAATGCAATTTGTGATATTGTTTTTAACTTGCCTTGAGGAATCAGTTAATTAAGTTAGAATAATTCGAAGGAATAAGTTTAAAATTATGTGTAGCAAAAATATGTATATAGGCGTACAAGGAAGTCATGTCGTGTCCATATCAGATTTTTTTTAATGAACCAGAACATATTTTTAATGAACCGGAACAATTCATTAAATGTAAACTTTATATGATTTTTCACGTCTTAGATGTTCTTTTAGTTTACTACGTGTGTAAAAGTACTGTTCAGTATCGCAGCAGTTTATGTTTAGTGTCCCAGAAAAGAAAATAGATTTCAAGGCTATCATTACCTCGTGTTCTTAAAGATCGCGGAAAATTCATGTCATGTGCATGAAACTTGCACTACTAAGGTTAGGCTGTTAAGGAGCATTAGTGTACTGTTTACAAGACAATATACTATATTGTTACGTTTTTTTTCTGACACCAGTTGTTGCGTTATTTTCTTCCTTCATGTTCATAGAACGACGACACTTGCTGACGTAACAAAACACACTTTTTTATTTACCAATATTAATCAGGACAGCTCCAAAACACTTTTACAATCGTCGAAGATCTACTAAAACACGCTGGAACAATCAGCGGCACAGCCTTCACACTGTCAGGCAATAACGGTGGAGACAGCTTCACATCAAAGCACCAGAGTGCAGCTCTCGACTCTGCTCGGTCTTTCTCGGAACTCCACGTACTCTCCACGCTACAACTCGTAATGCACTCGACGACACACAGAGCACGGCTCCCGACTCTTCGATTCAGTCGTTCCCGGAGCTCAACACGCTCTCTTGACGATGCACTGACCGCGATACACTACGAGACTCTTGCACTCGACGACCCACTCGGCATTCGTAGCCCGGCTGTCAACTCGATCGTCGTGTACTGTTTACAAGACAATATACTATATGAAATGAAATTTGGAACGGTGTAGTTAATGATGAAGTGCAGATGGAATTAAAGCAATTTTGGATCATGTGGCATTTTGAGCAAAGTCTATTTGAGGGGAGGGGGGTGGATTTGGGTTTTCGTCAACGATTTGCAAAGATGGTAATTTGGGGAGATATCGCCCAGCTGGCAACGGATTTAGCGAGAAATTGCCAAAAGTCTTGGCGACCATTTGGCAACATTTGGGTCCGATGCCTGTGTCACCGTAATAAGTATTATAATTGAATTAATGTAATTGATCACCATTAGCTGTAATCGTAATTCGAACTACGTATTGCCTTCCAGTAATTTCGAGAAACAGAAAGTACTAGAAATAACTCGGCGGGCGGGTGGAAACTATATGAGGCCGGAGAGAGCATCCGCTGTCAGCAGTAGTTGTTGTTGTTAGTTCAGAGCGACTTCACAGTATTGAAAGCTTCGCCTTTTAGATGCGTTTTGCTGGCGTTACTTTTAGTTCTTAGTAGTTTGAAGTGTGAACTACTGATTGTACTCTGTGTTACTGTGAATACCTGTACGAGTATTTCTGTGGAAAGTTCAAGAACTCTGAGGTGTTTCTTTTGATAAAATATATTTTATCAACCTGACATCGGACCTGTGTGTATTCAATCTATTACGAACTCGTACGCACCTAACATTATTCAAAATTTTTAATTAAACCTCCGTGCAAGGATTTTCTGCGAACTTTTTAAAGTTTGGGACATGTTAATATAGTTGAGAGAAAGATACCTCAAGGTACTGCCAGAGATTTTTCGCAAAAAGAAACGACTTTCATTAATTTGGTTTTCAACTTTAAGGTGCTAGAAAATTCCGTACATCGCTGTCAAGCTTTAAACTCGGCGCCAAAATCTTTGATCCTCACGGAAAGGATCACTTAGACGTTCAGACTGACCAATGTTGCTCGTTACATTCTGAGATTGAAATTCCGGCTTTCTTCTCATAGTTGAAAAGGATTTTCGAAATCGTCTCGAAGATATCTTCCTGCTAGCCCCCATAAACTCCCAAGGCGAAAATTTCTGAATACAGTCGAATCCTGATTATTCGAAAGGGAATTAAGCGAGACCTGCCTTAAAAAAAAGTTACGTTTGTTGTTGTGGAATGCTGGGCAAATTACAATTCGGATGATTAACATAAAACAGAACTGTAAAACAACAACGATAGCTGATGATATTATTATGATAGTTATCCACAATAATACGTAATTTATTTGCGCATAATTCTGAACGTGTATGTAAACTCTGAATTATGAAAAGCTACGCGAGTTTGAACTCCGTGACATCAAATTGTTTTGTAAATTTTGCTCTGTAACTTCACTTCCTTTCTTCGTTCTTCCGTTACTTATGCTATGTTCTTTTGGTTTTGAATACTGAATTTACTTAATGGATTTTATTCTCCAGATTAAATTGTTTGAAAGTACAGGCAAATTGTTATACTATTTTTGTGTTTACGGGTTATTCCTCTTTTCTATATATTTTTTTAACCGTTCTCGAATTAACAGCGATTCTGACTTAACCGTGGACATCATCCGCTGCATTTTCCCGGTAGTTGGCACTGAGTGCATCGCCTAAATATGTTGCCAATCCCGACAAATTTCGAGAAACCGTATTTTCTCTTGGGCAGGAACTATTTACAAATTGAAGTAAATTAGTTAGTTATGGTCTAAAAAGTAATTAATAAAAAGAATTTTATAAATCATTCCATCCGGGAGTGTTGCCAGATAAAAGCCTAAAACAATCTAATTCCTTTGAAAGAAATTGATTTCTAGTTTGTAAAAGAAACTTATCAAGACAAACGATTATTTTCTCATTGCGTTCTATTTCCTTTTTACTGAGCTGCTTTCATAAGCGCATTTAACTGTACTTTCAGCTTTATTGAAAAATAACGCATCCGTATTTCTTTTAAACAAAACAAAAAAAAAAAAAAAAAAAAAAAAAAAAAAAAAAAGGAAAAAAAAAAAAAAAAAGAAAGAAAGAAAGAAACAATTTCAATATTTATCGATGGCTTTTTTTTGTCTCCCCCCTCCCAACTTTCTGGCGCGAAAGTCGTAAAATGTGAAGAGTTTATTTTTTCGAAATGAAAACTGCAACTGTATCTCTTTCTCATTAATGAAGGAAAGAAGAAACGACTTAAAACTATTCTTGCTGAAGTTCTTCGATGTTCGAAATCGGCAGCTTACACGTTTTTCTCTACCGAAGTTAAGAAACTACTGCGCAGGGCATTAGATAAATGATGTACTTAGAGCGAAATTCGAGTTAACGCGGGCTCTGATGGCATGTTTCGAGATGAGAAAAAGGAATAGAATCGATTTTTTTTTTTAGCGCTGTTTGTTTGTTTGTTGGTTGGTTTATTTTCGATGTACGAAGGAAGAAAGAACTTCGAAGCTCGTTTTTGTGAGGAATGTAGACATAGCCTATATACCGTTTCCGATAGCAAATATTTCTACCACTCACCGTTTCACAACTTAATTTCATTTGTTTTTTATATTTGTTTCTATTTTTAATGCGGAAGAAATAAATTCTATGTTGTGTTTAATGTGCATCTTTTTGAACGAACTTCCTGTGCGGGATTTTTCGGTTAAAGCAGATTTTGTAGATCAGAGGGTTATTGATGCATTTAATATCATTAATCCATTTAAAATATAATTATCATTAATAACATTAAAATTTCTTATTAATATCGTTATAATATTGTAAGGATTATTGTTTACTTCCACGCCTATCGAATTAATTTCCACCTTTTCGTTGCCCTGCGT